TGGTGCTGACGTCACGACAAACAACCAGGCTACAGTCTACATTATAGACTGCCAGTACACTCACCCAGCTTAATAACCAGGCTACAGTCTACATTATAGGCTGTCAGTACACTCACCCAGCTTAATAACCAGGCTACAGTCTACATTATAGACTGCCAGTACACTCACCCAGCTTAATAACTAGGCTACAGTCTACATTATAGACTGTCAGTACACTCACCCAGCTTAACAACCAGGCTACAGTCTACATTATAGGCTGCCAGTACACTCATCCAGCTTAATAACCAGGCTACAGTCTACATTATAGACTGCCAGTACACTCACCCAGCTTAATAACCAGGCTACAGTCTACATTATAGGCTGTCAGTACACTCACCCAGCTTAATAACCAGGCTACAGTAGGCTGTCCAGTACACTCAACCAGCTTAATAACCAGGCTACAGTCTACATTATAGACTGCCAGTACACTCACCCAGCTTAATAACCAGGCTACAGTCTACATTATAGACTTGCCAGTACACTCACCCAGCTTAATAACCAGCTACAGTCTACATTATAGACGTCAGTACACTCACCCAACTTAATAACCAGGATACAGTCTACATTATAGACTGTCAGTACACTCACCCAACTTAATAACCAGATACAGTCTACATTAGAGACTGTAGTACACTCACCCAGCTTAATAACCAGGCTACAGTCTACATTATAGACTGCCAGTACACTCACCCAGCTTAATAACCAGGCTACAGTCTACATTATAGACTGCCAGTACACTCACCCAGCTTAATAACCAGGCTGCAGTCTACATTATAGACTGTCAGTACACTCACCCAGCTTAATAACCAGGCTACAGTCTACATTATAGGCTGCCAGTACACTCATCCAGCTTAATAACCAGGCTACAGTCTATATTATAGACTGCCAGTTCACTCACCCAGCTTAATAACCAGGCTACAGTCTACATTATAGACTGTCAGTACACTCACCCAGCTTAATAACCAGGCTGCAGTCTACATTATAGACTGCCAGTACACTCACCCAGCTTAATAACCAGGCTACAGTCTACATTATAGACTGCCAGTACACTCACCCAGCTCAATTACCAGGCTACAGTCTACATTATAGACTGCCATTACACTCACCCAGCTTAATAACCAGGCTACAGTCTACATTATAGACTGTCAGTACACTCACCCAAATTAATAACCAGGCTACAGTCTACACTGTAGACTGTCAGTACACTTACCAAATTTTATAACCAGGCTACAGTCTACGTCAGTGTTTAAAAAAAATATTCACTTTATTTTCATAAAATGTTCTATCTACGTGACTTTACCTAAAGACCCATAGAATATGAATTCCTGCAGTCACGACAACTTTAAGTCAAGATCTACGCATGGTGTGTTTGGTGTGAGCGGAGTTTATCATTAGTGTTGAGTGGGTTTCAGAGCTATGTAGGTATGATTTCAATGTTTAAATATAAACATGTTTAAATGTAAAAAATCAAGTTGTCACATACTGTGACAATTTGCTCACAGATTTGGGTTTATTAGCAAAACGTCACTCTGGGGTGGGAGTTTTTGTTGCCAACCGATGATTCTGGGTGTTGATCTCCAGCAAAACGTCGCGTAAAATTGTCTAAAAATATTGCTTTTTTACACTTCGGTTTTGCCAATAAACTAATTACAGATCCCAGTGGCTTCATTTTAAATCTAGTGATGCCCCTCCTCCAACCTCCACCCCTGGTTAGAAAATGAACCCGGTACACCAAACCCTTTCCCATCGCGATGACGTATATCATCAGTTTATTGTGAAAAAGGCCATGGGGGGGAGGGCACGTGGCAGCCTCCACAGGGGCTACTCACCCTAACAGCACTCGCCGCAAATGAGTACCTGGTGTGGTGCGTAGTCAACGTGTGTGTGTGTATAGATCTTCTTGGTTTTTCGGTAAAGTCACGTAGAAGGTAAGTAATAAAATAATAAAAATAAAACATAATAAAATAATTCTCGCGACGTTTCGGCAACAACGCAAGCAGCCGTCTTCAGGTGAAGAATGAGACACTGCCAAGCTTGGAGCTTATATATAAGCTGGGTTGGAGGTGGAAGAAGAGCGCCTTGACAAAAGAATGTGCATATCAAGAGGAATTTAGCATATTCATGGGAATGCGTAGGAGGTGGGCGGGGGGGTTTCAAAGTCATATTATGCCCGTGCATTATGCAGGATCAGCAGCACCAAGGGAGGGTGCAGGGAGTAGCATTAACAAAGGGAGGGAATGTTAATAGTATGTAGAAGCAATGAAACATGTGAATGGGAGAGCGGTGGCAGGAGAGCGTGTGACATTAAACATCGCCAGCCACGGTCGGCAAATACAACGACAAGAGCGCCGCCATCGTGAGCCCCGAACCTCGATCTTCTTGGCCATCTTGTTCAACTCCTCGTACTCCGCGTCAGGGAAGTCGTAGATCTTGATTTTGTTTTCCGCGATTTCCTTCCTGATCTGGACGACGACACGGCATGACACACGGCAGAGGCCCATAAACTACTCACACAACAGAGACCCATAGACTCACCACAAAGACCCATAGACTCACACAGAGACCCATAGACTCACACAGAGACCCTTAAACTCACACAGAGACCCATAGACTCATCACACAACAGAGACCCATAGACTCCTCACACAGCATAAACCCATAGACTCATCACACAGCAGAGACCCACAGACTCATCACACAGCAGAGACCCACAGACTCATCACACAGCAGAGACCCATAGACTCATCACACAGCAGAGACCCATAGACTCATCACACAGCAGAGACCCACAGACTCATCACACAGCAGAGACCCACATACTCATCACACAGCAGAGACCCACAGACTCATCACACAGCAGAGACCCATAGACTCATCACACAGCAGAGACCCATAGACTCATCACACAGCAAAGACCCATAGACTCATCACACAGCAGAGACCCATAGACTCATCACACAGCAAAGACCCATAGACTCATCACACAACAGAGACCCATAGACTCATCACACAGCAGAGACCCATAGACTAATCACACACAGAGACCCACAGACTCATCACACAGCAGAGACCCACAGACTCATCACACAGCGGAGACCCACAGACTCATCACACAGCAGAGACCCATAGACTCATCACACAGCAGAGACCCACAGACTCATCACACAGCAGAGACCCACAGACTCATCACACAGCAGAGACCCATAGACTCATCACACAGCAGAGACCCATAGACTCATCACACAGCAAAGACCCATAGACTCATCACACAGCAGAGACCCATAGACTCATCACACAACAGAGACCCATAGACTCATCACACAGCAGAGACCCACAGACTCATCACACAGCAGAGACCCATAGACTCATCTCGCAGCAGAGATCCACAGACGCATCACACAGCAGAGACCCACAGACTCATCACACACAGAGACCCACAGACTCATCACACAGCAGAGACCCACAGACTCATCACACAGCAGAGACCCACAGACTCATCACACAGCAGAGACCCACAGACTCATCACACAACAGAGACCCATAGACTCATCACACACAGAGACCCATAGACTCATCACACAGCAGAGACCCATAGACTCATCACACAACAGAGACCCATAGACTCATCACACAACAGAGAGCCATAGACTCATCACACAGCAGAGACCCATAGACTCATCACACAACAGAGACCCACAGACTCATCACACAACAGAGACCCATAGACTCATCACACAACAGAGAGCCATAGACTCATCACACAGCAGAGACCCATAGACTCATCACACAGCAGAGACCCATAGACTCATCACACAACAGAGACCCACAGACTCATCACACAACAGAGACCCATAGACTCATCACACAACAGAGACCCACAGACTCATCACACAGCAGAGAGCCATAGACTCATCACACAGCAGAGACCCATAGACTCATCACACAACAGAGACCCATAGACTCATCACACAACAGAGACCCATAGACTCATCACACAACAGAGACCCATAGACTCATCACACAACAGAGACGCATAGACTCATCACACAACAGAGGCTCGGGTAAGTGGTAGACGGACTTCATTAGTAGACCCCTTCCAATGTTAACAGCAGTGGGATCGGGTAAGTGGTAGAGTGTGAGAGAAGTAGACCACCACCAGTGTTATTTAAATAGCAGGAGGCTCGGGTAAGTGGTAGCAGCGTCACTCTCAGTCATTAGTAGACCCCCCCTCGCCCTATTTAAAGGGACTAGTTTACATCTCGATTTAAAGCTTTCGTGACTGCAGGGATTCATCTTCTTGGTTCTTTCGGTAAAGTCATCACGTAGAAGGGAAATAATAAAATAATAAAAATAGAACATAATAAAATAATTCTCACGACGTTTCGGCCACAACGCAAGCAGCCGTCCTCAGGTGAAAACCAGGTCTGTCGAGGCGACAGCGTCTGAATGAAACAGCACACGAGCTTGGAGCATGTATTTAAGCTGGGTTGGAAGGGGGGGAAAGGGCGCCTTGACAAAAAAAATGTGCATATCAAGAGGAATTCAGCATATTTGTGGGAAATGCAGGTATGTGATGGGGGAGGTAGTAGGAAGATTGGATCGGGAAAGTGGTAGGAGGTTGTGAGAGAAGTAGACCACCAGTCCCATGTTAATCAATGGGGGCGGTGGTGGGGAGGTTGGAGCGGGAAAGTGGTATGGGCTGTGAGAGAAGTAGACCACCCAGTATTGTTTGGGAGAGACCAACTCTTCTCGCCACCCCCTATTGATGGTGGAGTGATGGTAGAGTTCGTGGATGACGTGATGCGTCGAGACAACTGATCCACGTGACGTTTGTGACGCCACCTGCTGTAGCCCCACGTCTCGACCAGCTGTTTTGGGAGTTTAAATAACTTAATAATAATAATTCTACATTTTGTTGTTTGTTGTTGTTTGTTGTTGTTGTTGTTGTGAACGTCGTCAGA